CTGTGAGCTCGATTTCTATCTCAGAAAAATCTCGCCCTTCTTCCTCGCCTAGGCCGCGATAATAAAACGGTCGAAGGACGGAGCGCGGTAATGCTTTTTATTAAGTTTTCCTCGATAAACGTACCACTTGACTGTCGCGAATGCGACTTCGCGACCGGAGGTCTTCGGGGAATTTTTCCTTTACGCCGAGTTGCGCACGAGGACGATTTAGAAATACGGGATTATTAATTTCATGAACACTCAAAGGAGAAAAGAATCCAAGCGAAATTCACTCGGAGTCTCAAGAGAGACGTTTTTCTTTCTCCTTTATACGATTATACTTTTATTTCCCGACGAAATTACAATATAAATTATTACGATACGTAATATAGCGCTATACGATAGAAGTTGTTCCGTAAAGGTATATGTTTGTTTAAGCAAACGAAAAAAATAAAATGCCCAAATAAAAGGAAGCAGTTTTGTAAAACCAACGAATGTTAAAATATTGAATTATTATATATTATATATATTATATATTCATATAATTAATTTCAGAAATGATAATTGCGTATCGATATGGTTGTCGGACTTTCAACGCAATCAAACTGAAATATTAATGCTTTCTTGCCGTGGAACGATGTAATTAAAATTCTTGTGCGTATATAGAAGCTTGTTTCGAACACCCCGTTTTCGTCTCTCGTTCCCTTGAAATTTTGCCGTCTGTTCCGCGCGTGTTTGTCCGTACACGAGTTTCAGATGTTCCATTATGACTTGCGCTCCGAGGTAAATATAAAAATGCTTCCCGTTCTTGCATGTTTTACTTTTCCGCGCATAAATCAGAAAAGAATCTCGACATAACTTCTCGAAATCGGTTTCGGGTTAAAATAACTGCGCAAACTTGGACAGTCGTGTGTCCCCTTTTATCTCTCAAACTGTGCAAGAGAATTTTACTCAGCAAAACTTCAATACGTAAACGGTTTGTGAAAGTACACAGCATGTAATAAGTAGTTAAGTAGTAAAAGCGTATTACATATCGGACTTCAATTCATTAGTCTCGCTATGAATATTTAAGCTATTTAAACATTTGATCACAAATTAGGCGCAACTAAAATATGTTTTAAAAGCCGTGTGATATAATTATCGTCAATTAGTGTTGACAAAAATATTAAGTAAGAATTAATACGCTTATGTAAATTATGATATCACTTCCTTATTTCAAAAGTAATACTCGGTAATATTTGAGTCATTACTATAAATGAATTATAAATTACTTTATCAATCATCAAAAATGAACTAACTTAACATCATAAAAAATAGTTAAAATTGTCGCTATTGAATTGTCACTAAAAAGAATGGTTTGGAAAAAAATCGTCAAAGTCATCAGAACTTAAAAAAGATTTTTTAAGGGTGAAATTGTGAAATAAAAGTGACATTTAACTATATTAAAAATATATATCTTTTTGAAAATATATCTATAATCAATATTATTTGATCAGTCAATAATTTTCCATCAAGTTAGAAAATTGTTTTCCTCCCTTCTGGAAAATTGATTTTTTAAAATTCTGTTACTTTTAAACTAAGAGAGCAATCTATTTATTTAAATATTTGATTTATTTACATTACTATTTGAAACACTTGAAATCAAACAACTTTTGCGTGCTTTTGCAATACTGATAGAATCTTCTTTTTTGTTACAGGCGTTTCTTGAAATGGGGGACGAGAATGCTGCGGCGACCATGGTGAATTATTACGCTACCGGCGTGGCTCAACTCAGAGGCAGAGCAGTCTACGTGCAGTTCAGCAATCACCGTGAACTCAAGACGGATCAAACGCACTCCAACAACGCGGTCAGTAGCCCAACAAATGATGTCGCCAACACCTCTGAGGTCTGTGTCATACTTCTCGCTTCACTTCTTTCTCGCTTCACTAAACTTCGGGAATGGCCGCATGAACTACTACGCTATTCTCGCCGAACTAACTCTCTTTCGATCTTCTTCTAACACTTACACTTGCTTCTTTCCTTTTCTATCAATGACGCAGATACCTAAAGTGATGTTGAACTTTATAAGCTAATAGACCAACGACATATATACATAGACTAAGTGTTCGTAGCTTGAAACTGGAAGATGCAGTTTAACTAGAGCCATTGCTCTCTTTCTATCTTAAAAGAGAGGAGTTCTTAACAGTCGCAGGTGTGAGATGGATTGAGATAACACGGATCCAATGGTCCCTTAAATGGTTAATTTCCGTCTTTATTCTCCATCACTGAAAACATGAGAATGCTTCATCTATGTATATATATCGTTGGAATAGATATGTATCATTTAATTGTAAAATTACATATTTTGTAGATAAGTTTTTAATCGATGAAACTTGACATAATAACGTTACATTGAAAAAAATTTTTGATGAAATGAAAACGTACTAACAAAATGACATTTTGATTAGCGAGACAAATAGAATTTCTTTTATTATAATAAAAAATTCTATTTGGTTTCACCATAGACGTAATAAGAATAAGATAAAGATACACGGCCAGTCTTTTGCTATTCAGTGCTATTCGTAGCGTGCACGCGTGCTCTTGATACCGAAATATTATCATGTCTCTTGATAGATGCGCAATAAAGATGTTTCTTTCAATTTAGAAAGAAAGAAGTAATAACATATCGCTCTCTTTTTCTAAAATATCGATTTAAAGAGAACTCAATTTTTTTTAATGGAGTGCAGATCAAGAACAGATAAATCCATATTGAGAAAAATGTTTAGTTAAATTAATTGGAATTCTGATTGAAAATGGACGAATCAGAATTTTCTAAAAACTAAAAACTAATTTTTGTTAAATCTAGAATTCTAGTTGAGATAACCAAAATTCTGATTGATATAATTAGAATCTTTTAGTTTGTCCATTTTCCATCAGAAATTTTTCTCAGTGTATTCTTCTATGTCTATGGATCTCATCAAAATGCCATTCTTGTTGATCTACGTTTTGTCAGTTCAATCAAAACATTTTCCTCAGTTTTACATATTTATCTGTGAAGCAAGGATACATTCGTCGCTTTATGTCCCGTTGATACGGTGACTTCGATGCCTCGAGGCGTTAGCCGAAGGCGGGCAAGCATGAAACCAGAGACTGTCCTGTCACAATACAATAGTTGTTACGCGTATCAAATTAGCTTCGATAGTATATTGTTTATGCGGGCTAATTAATTAAGCCGATATCCTTGCATATATCTTTAATCATCAAGATCCAAACACATATATGCGATCATGCGAGAGCGAGTGGAACCATGGCCATTTCGTCGTCAAGTCAATCTAAACACTCGCGCCCGCAAACTCCGTTATAATTAATGCGTCCATAATTTATGAACGATCCCTCGGGCGCAAACGGGCACGACGGTTTATCCCGCTACACCCCGCCAAACTCTTCGTCTACGTGACACACGGTCGTGCATACTACTTGCAACTTGCGTGTGTCATCGTATGCTGCCGGTCATCATCGGAACTAGTTAACTCACTGCGCAATTTGGGGCCGCACGGCCATTTCGAATGAAATTTGTCAACGAATTAATTAGCACCCGAATTGAACTGGCGAATCAATTAACGGAATTCAGTTAGGTCTACTCACGTCAATAGTTATGTTCCGAAAACAAAGCCGTTTATCGAGAGCTCAGTGATTCTTTATATATATTTAGATCTATAAAAAATATAAAAGCAAAAATCTTATTAAAGAATGAGTACTCGTTGAGCGACTTTATCTTTTGAACGCAGCTATTGTATACACATATGCATATCAATTTATGTTCTACATTGTTATATTAGATTATGTGTTCAAGTCACTACAAAACAGCTAGCCTGTTTGTCGAGTGATTAAACATGATTAATTTTCATTTATAGACTCAATAGAAATGCGCCTATAAGAAAGAGGCGCCAACTAATCACGTGACCATAAGTAAGAATTACTTTAGTCAGTCTCAGAAAATTCTTTGCTTCTAAGCAAGAATTACTCTAATTAATCATAATTTTATGATCTTAAGTAAGAATTACTCCAGTCAATCACAGAAAAAGTTATTTGACTGTGTTAGTGTTCTTCTCTCTTTAGACTCTCTTCTCTCTTTGTAGATCCTATCAATCATAATCAATTGTAAACATAGTTAATAGTTTCATTCGACTTGAACCCGGTCATTATGTTCGCTCTATCACATCAAAATTAACTCACATTTCTTTTTAAATATTAGCTTTTTAACTGCTGAAGTAATTTATGGATTTGTTGACTCAAAATGATATCAATGTGGAACGTTTCCACTCAGAAATCCATCGAGAACGATACAGCGGTGGCTTCGAAGCGCATACTCGGCGAATCCGTGGCATGTCATATTGTCTTTTCACTGTCGTCTTTCAATTCCGTCGTGGAAGAGTCGAGAACGACGTCGAGCGGAACTAGTATTATCGTTAACCAGCCCCGCCAATTCGTGTCGTCGACGTCGTAACTCCGTAAGTTTCGATCGTGTCGGTCTGTCTACCTTCCTCCCGAGGACATTCCTAGTCTCCCCTCTTCTGAGTTACCGAACTGCCGTTGCCACCCCCCGGGGGCGCAACTTCGCGGTGGAAACGGACACCGATCCCACGGGGAATCCTTCGAGAAAGTTTCATGTGTATATCGGGACGGATGGAAAAGAGGGAGGATGCGAGGTGGTGATGGTCTGCACGAAAAATAATAAATAAGTAAGTAAATAGCCCGGCGACGCGCTTCGTCGCCACCGATGCTTTTTCTTGACATGTGGAAACTTTCCGCACACGTGACCGTGGAAACTTTACAATCCATGGGATTTACAGGATCGCAGTTGCTTAAGAACGAAATTCATCATATTTCTGAGAAATTTCTATACGCAAATTTTATGTATCTTCTCACGATGTCATTAGTGCTTCATTAAATGGAGGCGATCGTAAAACGCATGGAACAAGAAGTTGAAATGACTTTTTTATGTATACTTAATGTATACTTTCTTTTTCATACATCACGCAAGATTCTATTTCCAGAAGTCGTTTCCAACTTGCTACGTGAAGAT